GATTTCCATAGGATCCTACAGGAGCGCATGGGATGTCCATACGATCCCTATACGATTCCATAGGATCCTACAGGATCGCATGGGATGCCTAAACAATTCCCGTGGGATTCCCATCGGACCCCATACGACCGCATGGCATTCCCATGTAATTTCTATCGGTTTCCCATAGGAACCTCTGGGATCGCATGGGATTTCCAAGTACAGCCCCTTATACGATTCGTATAGGATCCTACACGGTCGCATGAGGTTTCTGTAGAACCCCCACAGGATCCTAGAGGATCCTATAGGATCTTATGGGATCGCATTGGATCCCCCCAGGAGCCCTATAGGATCCGATAGGATCGCATCGGACTCCGATACAATCCTTTTTGCTATTCCCTATAGGATCCTACAGGGTCGCATGGGCTTCCTATAGAATACAGACAGGATCCTGTAGGATCCCTGAAGGTCCTATAGAATCGCATACGATCTCCATAGGCGCCCCATAGGATCCTATGGGATGGCATGGGATTCCTAAACGATCCCTTTTCGATTCCCATCGGGTCCTACAAGTTCGCACGGGATTCCAACACAATCCCTATAAGATGTCTACGGTGTCCTATAGGACCCCATATAGGATCGCATAGGATCCTTCTAGGAGCCTTATTGGATCTTATGGGATCCCGAAACGATCCCCATCGGATTCCTATAGGATGTTATAGGACTGCATGGGATTCCTATAGATGCTTACAGGATTCCTGTAGGATCCTATAGGATCGCATGCGGTTTCTATCCACCCCACACGGGATTCCCATATGATCCTATACGATCGCATGGGACTTATAGACAATCCCCATCGGAATCCTATAAGATCCTGTAGGATTGCATGGGACTCCTATACGATCCCTATACGACCCAGATAGGCTGATTCGACAGGGTCGCATGGGATTCCGATACAATATCTATCGGATTCCTATAGTGCCCTACAGAATCGCATGGGATCCCTGTAGAATCCCACTAGGATTCCATAGGATCCGATAGAATCTTTATAGGACCGTATAGAATCCCCATAGATTCCGATAGGATCGCACAAGATCCCCATAGGATCCTTGCAGGATCCCCGTAGGATTCCTATAGGTTTCTATAGGATCATACAGTTGCCGAACAGTTCCTGAGCTTCTTTGGTGCAGACACTGAAACATTGCATGAAGGAGGAGTTCGCACCCTGAAGCTAGCGAAGTTACAGCGGAGAGAGGGATGGAGCCCGAGGTTGTTGGTTGCTGGTTGCTGGGTGGGGTTGCTTACCCCCGGGAAGCAAGGTCACAGGTTGTCCTTTATGGACAAGCATTGACCAAATTTCCTGGCGAACAGGCAACAAGGTCACGTGCCAACCTTGTTGTTGTTGTTGTTGTTGTTGTTGGTGGTGGTGGTGGTGGTGGTGGTGTTGTTGTTGTCTATTGTCGTCGTCCCACCCGCGACCCACCCGCGACCCACCCCGCGACTCACCCGCGACCCACCCCGCGATTCACCCGCGATCCACCCCGCGGTTCACCCGCGACCCACCCACGACCCACCAAGTGACCCACTTGCGACCCATCCGCGATCCACCTCCGGCCCATTTCGACCCACCCGCGACCCACCCCGCGACACACCCGCGACCAACCCGCGACGCATTTGCGACCCACCCGCGACCCACCCTCGACCTACCCACACTGGTTTAACGACAAGATCGGCGCCTGCGGCGGGCTCGTTGCGTAATTTGTGAAACTTTGGCGCCTGCGGCGGGCTTCTCCAGAATCTCGCAAGCTGCCGACGTCCCCACCGCCCCCTCACTGTTATCCGCATCTGCGGGGTGCTACGTATCTTTTACTGCTCGTTCAAAATCCGCCTGTGGGAGGACATGCCCGACCTAACTCTACGCGCGTGTCCATAGCGGAGGTTGGGGGGGGGGGCTTGCGCGCGCCAGGGCACGCCCTTGCGGGGCGGGGTTTCGCAGAAGCCCTCGCGCCTTCCGAGCCTGCTGAGAATGCCCGCCCCCTCTCACTTCCCCCCTGGGCGCGCCGCCTAACAACAGCGATGGGTCGGGGAAGCGGAGAAGTCGAGTTCGCTTGAACGTGGGTTTACCGGCGCTCTTTGACGGGCACGTCCTGAATTCTTGCGCTCCAGTTTTCGTGATATGTCCGCAGCGGGCTCTCGCGTCAAGGTTCAGACCAGGCCTAGTCACTTTCCTGACCGCCCGAGTCTCGCGAGCCCGAGTCTTAAGCACAGACGTGTGTGGGGCCGCCAACTCACAGGTTTGAGCGCGTCCCGCTCTGGCATTCTCGACTGTGCCGCCACCCCTTCGGAAGATGGCACAGTGTGTGGCCTCCTCCCGTCCTTCCTGCTCCTGCTCCCCGACTCTGCCGCTGCCGGGCGCCGGGTGCGGGGGACCGCCAGGGCGCCTCGCGATCGGTTGCCGAGCAGGACGTGCTGCCTCCTGCCCCCCGCCCCGCGCCCCTCTTGCGACGCCTGGGCCTGCGCGCGGACGCGCAGGGCAGCCTCCCGGAGCAGGGGCTCGCTCGCCTCGGCCGCGCCGCGGCCGGTGGCGCCCGGCCGGGTTCGGCTGGAGGGCGGCCGTGCCGTGCCGCTGCCGCGTCCTTGGCGCCCGTTCTCGGCCGGTCCCGGGAGGCTCCGTGTCGGTCGGAGGCGGTGCCGCTGTCGGTGCTGTCGCCGTGGACGGGCTCCATGGGGCGCTCCGTGCCCAGGGGCTGGTGCAACGCGAGGCCGCTCCAGACTCTGAGGGTCGGAGATGCAAGGGGTGGCGGGCCCTCAGAATGTACGCTTCGCAAGCGCAGGCCCGCGGGCGCGCCTTTGGCGCGAGGCCCAACAATCGGGCATTGGAGCTCAGCTGTTTCACTTTCTGGCGCGTTTCAGTCGTGATGGCGTGCCTCGGATGCGAGAGCGCGCGCCTTGCGTGTATGTGATCCCGCGCATGGAACGTAAACCCCAACAGTTTTACCATTCGGGCGTCATCATCATCATCGTCATCATGACCATATCCACAGTCAACATATTCGGGTGTAGTTGCCCGCTCATGGGGCGAGTGCGCGCGCGTGCGCACGTCTGTATACCCTGCCAGGCAACAGGCATGCTTCCGAACGCGCCCCGCGTCGCCGAGGGCCCCCTCTCGGACATGAGTCTGCGCGTTCCCTCCACGATTGCGCCCGCGCCGGGGGGACTCAGTCGTTCGCGGCGCTAGGGCGATGATGATAACGACGCCGACGGCAACGACGCCGCCGACGACGATGATGACGTCGGCGACGGCGACGGCGACGACGACGTCCAGGCTGTTCTCCAGGTTGGTTTTTTCCCGAGGTTCCCTTCGGGGTGCCCCTGGCATGTTTTTCAAAGGCATCGGAGGCCCATGGAGGTCCATGGAGGTTTCCGGGAGACTCCGGAGGTTTTTCTGGAGGCCACCGACGGCGACGACAGCGACGGCGATGGCGACAGCGACAGGCCCACTGCAGCGCCCTCCCCCCGAGGTCTCCCCGTCGTTTTTTTGGACGTCCTCGAGGTCCCCGGAGGCATCCCCGGAGGCTCAAGAGACCGCCCGCTGATTCTCGCGGACCCGCACAGATTCTCAAGGATTTTTATTAGGTTTCCAGCAACGGTTCGCGGCGGATCCTGGCGGATTCTCGCGGATTCTTGTGGGTTCTGCTGCGTTTATGACGAGGGTTCGCTGCAGATTCTTGCGGATTCTCGCGGGTTCCGCTCTCGGGCCGCGCGCGCGCATGAAGGCCGCGAGGGCAGCGGGCGGAGATGACCGTGACCGCCCGCGCGCTTCTGCAGGCTATTGCGTCCGCCTGCGGGCGCCGGGCAGTTTTTTCTGTCGTTCCACCAGGCGCGCGCGGTCCTTTGTGGCCGCCTGGCGATGCCAGTCGGTGCCTCCGCGCATGCGAGCGCCGCTGCGCTCTTGCGAGCGCCTTCCCAGCAGTGCCTCTGAGCTCGCTCGCGCGCCTGATTGCACCCGCGCGCAACCGCCCCGGATGCGGGGTTCGGCCGTCGTTGCCGGGCGCCCTGCGGCTACAATGGCTTCCCATGTGTCCTCCCATGGCTTCCAATGCATTACCATGGTTTCCCGCCCCGCTGGCCTGGGGCGCCCGGGTCGGCCGTTGTTGCTGGCCCCCCCGCGGCAGAGTGCGTTCTCCAGTAGCCGCTTGTGGCTGTGCCTTTGCCGGTGCCTCGCCCGCCGCGGCTTCGCCCCCGTGGATTCGGATGGTTGCGCACGCATTGTTCCGATCATGTGTCGTTTTGGGCCGGTGGTCCGACTTCGAACTCCTGTATAGAACATTCAATGATAACTAGCCCGCGCCAGACTTGAAAGTGTGAAACCAGGTCAAATACCAGCGTTTGGCGAGCAACACAAATTGATATCGCCGCGGTGGCGCAAAATCGTCGCCGGCAGCCCATCCGGTGTTGCCGGGGGGCCAGCACCCCTCGCAATTCCGATTTTCATACTCCAGACTCGGGCATGTCCCACTACAGGAGGAATACATTCAACAATCGCAGGAAAATGCTCAGGGCACCAGCTTTGTAACAATTTTTTATAATTTGTAAATTCCGAAGGTTTGGGGGGATCCTGGTTCCGACGGAGCTGGCCCATCACCTTCCTCCCCTCCCTGCTGTGCATTTTCTGCCTTCTCTTTCTCTCCCTCTCTCTCTCTTTCTCTTTCTCTCTCTCTCTCTTTCTCTCTCTCTCTCTCTCTCTTTTCGCAGAGCGCTTTCCACCGCTCTCGGAAAGTGCCTACACGTCTGAAGAACACATGTCAGCATCGATGAAACGTATCGTAAATCCCCCATGGTGGATCCAGGCCGTGTGCGAATGGTTACTTTGCGAGTAGTGGAACGCGCTGGTCCATATTCCCGCTCACGGATCTCACGGGGCACCAGAGCAGATCTTGGGCTCCAGCCCGGTCGCCGTCCCCGTCCTTTTGGACGCACGGGGACGCTTCGCCTCGCCCTCTCCGCCTCGCCTTCCCGAGGTCGTCGAGCGCGTGCTGGGCGACCAGTCGGTGGACGCAACGGGGCGCCGACGCCGCGCGGAGGCACTGCGGGACCTGGGCGCGGCGTTCGTGGCGCAGGCGCCGCGTGGAGGGACCGTCCCTGACCTCAGTTCCGCGGACGACTTGTGTGCACCGTAGCGCGTTGGCGTCTCCCGAAGCATCTTCGATCATCGACCCAGGGGGTGAGTCGGCGCATCAGTGTTTAGCCTTCGGAGCCGAACAACTAACTATGCACCGTACCGCGTTGGGGCGGGGCCTGAAGTGAGTCCGAGCATGGTGCGGTACATGGTCGCCGTTCTCGTATCACCGAATATTCCCGTCGAAATCAACGATGACGGCGGCGACGATGACGGGCGACGACGACAACCACCACCACCACTTCCCCTGACCTGCCCAGGGGCGCTGCCCCCCGTGAATCACGAGGGGATCCAGCCGCGGCTACAAGGGCACCGCAGGTGGCCCCACCCAAGAGAGGCAAACCTTCGATCCTCGATCCTCGACGCCCAGACGTAGTGCTTGGGGCGATGATCTTCAGGACGTGTGTTAGCCCAATGTGTGTTTGCCCCCTTCAGCCCAACAGGTAGAAGTAGATCATTACATTGCCTGCGTCGTATCGAAGGGCCTCGATGGACAAACACACGGTGGGGCTAACACAGGTTCTGAGAATCATCGACTGGGCGCGCACACTGCGGCTGGAGTCGTAGCCTCTGCGACGCCCCACGGGGGTACGTCACCCCAGGGGGACTCGTACGACGTTGAGGCCCTCCTGGTGACTGCCTCGCGTCGAGAGAATCGAGCAACAACAGCTGCACGAACATACATTTTCGGAGGGCCGCGCTGATTTCCTGGATCCGCGCTTGGGCCCCCGTGGCGGCGCCTCCGGCGCCGCCCAGCGCTCCGCTTGCCACGGAGGGGGGCCCAGCGCCAAGCCAAGAAATCCGCGCGTACCTCTGAACGTTTATGTTTCTGTTCCCAACCCTCCTCGGTTTGGGTATCACGGTATCCGTGTTGAATACAGCATTGTTCGCGTGTCTCCCTCTCCTTCTCTTCTTCCCGCCTCCTCCCGCCTTCCTCCTCCTGCCGTCGTCTGCCTCCCCATCTCCTCTCTGCCCTCGTCCTCCTCGACATCCGCGCGTTCCCTCGAACTTGTATGCTTGAGTTGTTTCTGTTTAGCTTCTGTGCCTCGCGTCGTTAAGAGCAAACGGACAACAAAAACACTTGTGCTTGCGGCGGCGAGGGGCACGGGGCGGCGAATACCGGCAGCAGGGACGCGGCAGAGCGGATCGCGCACCGAAGGGGATGGAAGAAAATAGCCAAGGGTTTGCGGCCCATCCCGCCGCCGCTCGGCCACGCGCTGAGGGAGGCAGGGCAAGCCAGGTGCGCTCGCGTCGTGTCTGACGTCCTACCCCTCCCTCCCATCCCTGACCACGGCGTAGATCGCCTTTCTATTCGCACAATCGGATGTCGTCGCGTGGCGTAACAGGCATAAAAAAATCAAGGAATCGGCACCGAATGTGGAATCACTTCCGATGGTTTCTTCGGGGGACATGTCTTTAATTTCGGGGCCTATTTGGAAGGACCCATAACCATGCCGTGGCACGGCGCTGGAAATAATGACGCCAGCGCTGCAGCGGGAGCACGATTTGGAACGAGCGGAAGCGCGGAAATGAGGCCCGCGCTGCAGCTGGAGCACGATTCGGAACGAGCGGTAGCCCGAAAATGAGGCCAGCGTTTCGGCGAGAGCAGCCTTTTTGCAACAAAAGCCTAAGCGAAAACCGAACTCCCTGGAATCCTGTGTATAAGAAACCAGTACGCGGAGGGGGGCCGAACAATCCCCGGACGCCACCAGGGGAAAGAGGAGAGTAAAATTCAGATTGTTTAATTGTGGAGGGGGGAGGCCTCTTAGAAGCACCCGTGCTTCCTAGAAAGCGCTGGCCTTCTCTATAAACGTAAGGCCAGGGCCTTCTAAGAAACAGGGTGCTTCTACGAAACCTTTTTCATTTGGAAGCCTCTTGGGGCCCTCTTGGGATTCACATGGAAGCCTCTTGGAGCCTCCTGGGCGCCTCTGGGGGCCTCCCAGGGGCGGGAGGCTCTGGGCGCCTCTGGGCGCCTCTGGGCGCCTCTGGGCGCCTCTTGGGGCGGAAGGCTTGTATTTTCGGTTCGTGTTCCCTCTCTTGGGCCCTTTTTGGTACCGTCTTGGGGCCACGCCTTTTGGACCGTCTTGGGTCCCTCTTGAAGGCCTCTTGGGCCATCTTGGGGCGGTCTTGGAGGCCTCTTGGGTCGTCTTGAAGCGTTGGGAAGCCGAAAAGGCGAGAAAACCAAAAACCTTCAAACATCTGAAGACCATGCATGATTTGTGCCTCTTGGGGGCCTCATGGGAGGCCTCATGGAGGCCTCTTGGGCCGTTTTGGTACCGTCTTGAGGGTCTTAGAGCGATGGTTCGGCGACTCGGGGCCCTTTAGGACCGTCGTCTGGGCCTCTTGGGGCCCTCTTGGCCCGTCTTGGGGCCTGCTTGGACTTGAGAAATTCATTCGGCAAGATGCGTCGGAGCCCACAGAGCACGCGCCAAGCCCCAGGAGATTCTGGAACTTTGGGTTTGGGCTTCTAAAAGTTTCCTCAGGACAGGGCTGAAGCTCCAGAGATTACGCAAAGGACCTGAGGACGCGCCCACTCCGTGCCCCGAGGCACGTTGGCGGATTTGTTTCAGTGTCTTTCAGTTGTCTAATGTTTGCTGGTGGGTTATTTCATGTTTGCCAAACGAGAGGAGCGGCCGCGGATGATCGAGAATTAGAACGAAGGTAATATGGAGAGGTGCTGGTATGTGGAATGATTTCAAAGTAGCCATACAATAGGTTACGGTAACAGGCGAACAGCACAATCTATTCGACAAGTGTAAATTAAATACCATTATGCTATAACGTGCAAGCGCTCAAGCGCAAGCGGTGTTTGCGGCGCACAGCGAGTGCCTTGCCAGGAAAACCGACTGTCATGGCAGCTCAGGACGATCATGCGTCCTGCAGCGGCGCGCGGGGTCGGCTTCCATGGGGGTCTCTCGCCGCGGGGGCGCGCTGTGAATTGGCGCGGCGCGGGGCCTGGCGTCGCCCGTGCGCGTCCAACAAATTATTGGCGCAGGGCACGCCCATTTGCAGTTATGATCACAGTTTCTGGTTGGATTTCTTTGGGGGCCAGGGAGCGCGTGACAGGGGCGCTCCGACATGAATCAGGGCCGCCGCGCGAGCGGCGCCAGTGGGGTCGGGGCTTTCAGCGGAGCTTTCTGCGGGGCCACGACACGCGTGACAGTTGCGCAAATGTGCCGCGCCCGGCCGCTGCCGCCAGGGCCTTCGGCGGGGTCCCCCGTCGAGCCGCGAATTGCGTGAGGGTTCTGCAGGTGCCGCGCGCGGCCACCGCCTCTGGGGCCTTCGGTGGAGATCCCCATTGGCCACGACGCGCGCGAGCGGTGCCCAAGTGCGCGCGCGGCCGCTGACGCTGTGACCTTTGGCGGGTTTCCTTACTCGGGCCATCGAACGCGCGAGGGGGGCGCAAGTGCCGCGCGCGGCTGATGCCGCCGGGGCCTTTGATGGAGCCTGGGGAGTGCAAGTGCCGCGCGCGGCCGCTGCTACTGCGGCCTCGACGGAGTCGCCTGTGGGGCCGCGAAGCGTGCGAGGGGTGCGCAAGTAGGGCCCGCAGCCTCTGCCACTGCGGCTTCGGTTGGGCGAATGCTTGAGGGGCCTGCGAGCACCGCGCGCGGCCGCCGCCGTCGGGGGCTTCGGTGGGCCCCCCATCGGGGGCGACGGCTGGAGCCCCTTTTGGGGCCACGGCATTTATTCGCAGGGTCATTGCCCTTGAGCCACGCCCCATATGTCGGCGAAGCTTTCTTGGACACATTGCCGCGGGGGGTGGTGCGGCGCAGACGTCATCTGCTGAACCGCGCGGCTGCGCTGTCGCCTGGCCTCGCGCCCCCGCCCGCCCCCCCGCCCGCCTGGCGCCGGGAGGCGGCCGGGCTCTCAGCCCAAGGCCTAGGGGGAGGGCAAGGCCCCATGGGGCAGCCGCATTCCATCGCGGGCCTCCCGGGGGCGTCGCGCCATTCCACCTTGCTCCCGCCGGCTGCCCCGGGGATCAAGTCATTTCGCATGGCCCTCGACTGGGACTCCCTGCAGCGGACGGACTCCAGGTGCAAGACCACCACAGCACCACGATCCAGGGGTCTTTCAGCGGGGCGCCAAGGGGCGATCGTCGCTCATCGCCCTCGTCGAATATTTGGGTTGGTCTCGAGTTTCGTCTCAACGTCTGGGGGTACGAGGAGGAGAAGGCGGAGGCGGACGAGGAGCTACTCCTCTTCTCCTCCTTCTCCTCCTCACAGCTCCTTGTGCTGCGACAGAGAACTCTAGACCTCCTCCTCCTCCTCCTCCTCCTCCTCCTCCGCCGTCTCCTCCACCTGCCGCGAGGAGTTCCTCCTCCTCCTTTTCCTCCTCCTTCCCCTCCTCCTCCTCCTCCTCTTCCTCCTCCCCCTCCTCCTCCTCCTCCTCCTCCTCCTCCTCCTCCTCGTCCTCCTCTTCCTCCTCTTCCTTCGCTCCTCGTCATCGGAGTTCGGGGGAGGCCTCCGCGCCCCCAACCGCAGGCGGAGGCGGTTGCCGCCCCAGCCCGCGCGCGGGGCGCCGCGGCGGGCGGCGTGGCTGGCCAGGAGCGGGTGCCTCCCGCCGTGGTTGGGCCGGGGGGGGGAGGAGGCAGGAAAGGAGCGGGGGGGAGGGGAGGAGGAGGGAGGGCAAGGGAAAGGGAAAGGGAAAGAGAGAGGGGGGTGGGAGGGAGGCAGGGAGGGAGGGAGGGAGCGAGGGAGCGAGGGAGAGCGGGAGGAGGAGGAGGAGGAAGAGTAGGAGGAGGGTGCTCAGGGTGCTGATGACGCAGACGGGTACTCCCCGCCCCCGCCGCGTTGGCCGTGGTGGGGAGACGAACCGCTCCCTGCCCATCACCCGCCGCGGCACGCGAGGCCACCGAGGCCCCGCCGTGCCCCCAAGGACCAGCCCAGGAGGGGCCCACAGGGGCCACGGACCCAAGGAGCCCGAGGTGCGACGGGGAGGGGACGGAAGCGGTTCCCCCCAGGGCCCATCGCACCCCCACTCAAAGTTTGCCCACGACCGGCTCGAAGTTCAGGATGCCGATCCCCTCCATCACCTCCAGGAATCGGCACCTGTCTCTCCATCGCCTCCAAGAGCCGCCGTCCACGCCCAACTCCAAGTAGTCCTTGATGGCCTGGAAGTGCAGCGCCTCGAACCCCTCCTGGGTCGGGTTCTCCTTGAAGCCCAGGTCGGGGAAGGGCGGCACGTCGGGCAGCTCCGAGTCTGCCATCTTCTGCTTGTCGTTCCCGTCGTCGACGTGGGGCAGCTCGTCCGAGGCGCCCTTGTTGGACTCCCAGGCCCGCCTGCGCAGCTCCGTGGCCTCCTCCTCCTCGAGAGCACTTGCTGAAGCCCTCGCTCTGGGTGTCATCCTTGTCCAGGTGGATGTGGTCACAAGCTCCACCGTGTGCTGGTCCCAGGCCGATGCCTAGGTTGACGGCCTCCCACGAAGCCGCTCGCGAGCCTCCCAGAGCAGGCGGGCCAGCCTCCTCTCGCCCGCCTCCGAGAGGATCATGACCTTCGCATGGGACATGTTCTGCTCCGCCACCGCCGCAGCCGCCGATGCCGCTTGCGCCGATGCCTCCGCAGTCCGCTTGTGCCTTCCTTGGGAACGCCACCCAAGCCGCCTGTGGTGCCCTCAAAGTTGCCGCCGCCGAAGCCGCCGCCAACCTCGGGATCGCCCCCCAGTCCGCCAACGGTGCCGCCCCCGTCGCAGCCGTCGCCGATACCGTCACCAACCCAGGAGGCCTTGACGCCATCGCAGCTTTGCTGCGATTGCCCTAGTCCTGATTCGGCTTGCTCTTGACGTCCACCTCCGCCGGCTTCTTCCGGACTGGCGTTTTGGTTGGAGGGTGAAAGAGGGGGTCTGCAACAGGGGGTCTTCAATGGGGGCTGAATGGCCCATGTATGCTCAATGTATCGCTCATGTATGTGATCGGGTACGATTGGCATCCAATGCTGGCGGTCATTGATGGCCAGTCATTCGTGCCCGCGCGTTGCCCGCGCGGGCACGCGTGCCGTCCATCCATTATCGTTCATGCGTGCGGGCGTTCTTGCATATTGCATGTGGGCCGGCGAAGTGGAGTGCAAGTGTGTCTTGATTGTGCGGTTGATGATCGCGTACGTTCCCAAACGATGACTTTTCGACCCCCAAGACAGATTTGGACTGGGCCCCGCGATTCTCCCAAAATGTGAATTCACATTTTCCTTTTTCCCAATATGTGAATTCACATTTTCCTTTTCCCAAAATGTGGATTCACATGCTGGCCCCTTCATAAAGAATCCTACACAAAAATCCAAAATGTGAATTCACATTTTCGTTTTCCCCAAAATGTGAATTCACATGTTCCTTTTTCCCAAAATGTGAATTCACATGTTGCTTTTCCCCACAATGTGAATTCACATTTTGCCCTGGCCTTCAAGATCCCCAAAACTGAGGCGCAGTGTTCCGCATGTCAGATTGGCTGGGCAGATTTCGACACTCACCTGACCGCTTTCGTGCGTTCCAGCCATTTCTTTTTGCGCCCTTAGCGCGCGTTGCCTTCGTCGCCTTTCCCGAACCCCCCGCCCCCTTGCTTCCTTTCCCCTCAAGTCTCGCGCGCGGGTGCAGGCGGGGGGCTTCAATTAGTTCCCCCGCCGAACACAGCAATCGAGGATGTATCGCCCATTCATGGCCTTTAAAAACATCATTGCCGGGACCCTGCGCCCGACCCCCATTTTCACCCTCCAATTTGGGCCTCCTGTGGCGTCACATTTGCCACTATAGGGTCCCAGAGTGCGTGTCCATGACCTCCGCCTTCTGTCCTTGACTAGATCCTGGATCCGCCCCTCCCAGAAGATGCCCTCCTTGAAGCCCCACCAGTCTGTCGACGACATCCTCGCCGTAGCCCACGAACACGGAGGCCGACGAGTCTGGGCCAGCACCAAAGCCCTGCACGAAGTCTTTGAGCTTCTCGTCCAAGTTGTGCTAGAGGATGGCGCTGTGCACGAACAGCTGGCAGCTTTGAGAGGACATCAGTCCACCATGGCTCGGCAGCGCTGCGCCGCTGCGAATCGCGCGCTGCCACCGCTCCCTTGAGCGCGCGTCGGCCAGGAGAAGGAGGAAAAGGAGGAGGAGGAGGAGGAGCAGGAAAAGGAGAAGGAGGACTGGAGTTAGCACGCACCAAGGCCACGCGGGATGAGGAGGAGGATGATGAAGAGGAGGAGGAGGAGGAGTTAGAAAAGGGGAAGAGGAGGAGGAAGAGGAGGAGGAGGAGGATATGGAGGAGGAGGAGGAGGAGGGTGAGTGGAGACAACAGTAGTTGGCCTTCGGGGGCTCCCTCGTCGCCACGGCTGGACGCAGCTGGGAAAATTGGTGCGTTTGGATGTCTCCCGACATCGAGTTGTCGTCGAATCAAATCGCCTTGCTCCGAGAGGAAGACGAGAGGGGGGGCGGACAGGGAGGATGGACGAGCAGGGGGGTGTTGGAGGAGGAGGATGGGTGAGGAGGAGGGAGCAGGAGGGGGCAGGAGGAAAGCTAGGCACCTTCCAGGAAAACGCTCGGAGTGAAACGACATGCCTTGGGGAGCGGGTCGGAACTTCGGGGACTCCGTACCAGTAGTGCAATATCACGGCATCATGTTTCGGGTGTTTGAATTTAAAGCTTCCTCATGCGCTCATGCGTGCTCGAGCGAATGTGCAGCGGTGCGCCTGCGCAGGGCTGCAGACAGGGATCAGTGTCAGGATATATAAGAGTGGGCTGGCGCTGGGACTGGGCCAGGGGGGGCACACTAACCTGAACTCTTCCCGATGCGGAAAACACAACGGAAGTTGTTTGCCCAATTCCGTCCCCCCGGGTGTCCATATTGGGCCCCAGGGCCGTGGAAAAACGATTCGGGGTGACAAGTCGGTTTTTGTGAAGGGGGCTAGGCTCTTGGGACGCCACGTTATGAACAAAACCACAACGTTTGATGTGTGTATGTGTGTGTACGGCTACGTGGTGTGTAGAGTCGGGGTCAGCGATCGACTTTTTTGAGCGGCCGTGCATGAATTATTATTTGCTTGAGCGCTGCTGTTCCCTCTTCGTGCGTGGTTAGGGTCCCGACGAAGCCAGAGACAGTTCATGGAAAGTCAGGTTCACGTGTCGATGGAAAGCGGGGGGAACTTTGGACGTTGGGAAATACGCTGCTACAGCAGAGAAATACGGTGGCTCAAGGTGTTTGGGGCGCTCAAGGTACTACTTGAGCCAATCGATCGTGCACCCGTGTCCGGGACTAGAGTCTTACACCCGTGTCCGGGAGTACCCCTTACATCCTCTTCATTATTTCAAAGATGTCGGCGGAAAAACACCACATGGGGACTCCAGTAAAAAGTGCGCTTAAGCAGGCCAAGATGGGGAGCAGCCCGCCGCAGGAGCCACAGCCTATGGCTGCAGAACCTGAGGCACTAGCACTGCGACAACAACAGTTTCAAGAATACATGGACGCTGCCGCGGACAAACCCTTGACCGCCAAGGGCTTTGAGACGATTCTGAACCACCACCTCGATCCCATCAAGAACGACATCCAAGCTATCAAGACGCACGGCGTATCACGAGCAGATTTGAGCGACGCCATAAACCCCATTAAGATCTAGATTGACGCATTGACGAAACGAATGGGCTTGCTTGAAACAATTTATTCTTCCCTGCCAGCTTCAGCAAGATCGGCATCCGGAGCTTCCGTGGACACAGCCACGCTGGCGAAACTCGCAGATCTTGAACGCGAAGTTACCCGCCTCCGAGCTCCTGCACAAATTCACGTACTTCTCCCTAGGCAAAGCCATGTCACAGACAAACGGGACATCACCGCTGTAGTTGGGAATTGGGACGGGCTCGGGTCGATTGAGGCCGTTGGGGACTGGATGCAATTTGAATTGCAGAAGCTATTGGCACCCACGCCGTCAATTTTGTACACAAAAGGTGAATCCAGTAGTATTTTGTTCATGGAGTTCAGCTCGCCCGGCGAGAGGAAAACGGCGGTGAACCAGCTGCGCAATGCTAAGATCCAGCACGAAGGTAAGCATACTTGGGCAACGGTCGATCGTCCACCCCTAGCCCGAGCTGCCCGAAACTGTTGCTTCGGTGTCAAATACATGCTGAAAGACGCCATGGAAATCAAATGCCCAGTGCGAATTGACGATACCACCCATCCGTACACGGTCACAGTTGGAGGAGAATTGGCATTATCGTCCACGATACATGGGCAAACCGTTCACCGTGAGTGGAGCGAAGAGTGGTTTGAATGGCAAGAGTTGCGAAGTCACGAGAAGCTCCGTGAACTCACTGCGGCATGCGACGGCATCGCGGCTCGTACGGCGATGTCCGGGAAAGGCGGGGCCAAAGGTATGGCGAAAGGCGCGAAGTAGGATATGCGGCCGGCACTGGCAGCTACTACCCCTTTCTAAGTTTTTCTCCCATGACCAATGCCGGAGCCGACGCTGTTGCACTACATGCAGGTCTTTGCTAGACCCCATTTCACCCCGAAGTCGCGTATCCGAGCTGGGCAGATATACCATGGATGCACGATCTGACACTCACTATCGACAGCAACCC